AATAATAATATTGATGGTAATAATGATAGTAATAATGATATTGATGGTAATAATGATAGTAATAATGATATTGATGATAATAATGATAGCAATGGTGAAGGTGATGATAATAATGATAACGATGATAATAATGTTAATAATGTCAATGAAAATAATGAGAATAATAATAATCTTTAAAAAGGTATTTTGCTGAAAAATGATAAAGGATAGCGTGTCCCTTTTTTCACAGTAAATGCATTTCGAGTACCATAGTTCCGGTCTATGAGCTATGGCCACAACGCACTCGTGGGATGCCGTCATTCACCAGGTTTAATAAAACGACAAAAAAACAAAAAAACAAAAAACAACAACATTAAAACACGTCAGTTCAAACATTTTAGCTTCATTTTATCAGTGGGATCTGTTTGAAATATTCCGTTTTTTTTTACGTAGTTCCTGAAAGTTTGGAATCCTCGGAACATTCTCCATTTCTGTGTTGTTGTTTTTTTATCAATCGAGAGCTATTTTTACGTTAAGACTCGACTGTTTTCAAACTGAATAAAATATGTTCAGATAAAATAGTATGTTAAAATAGTCTTCTTGCATTACTGAGTGACTAAATTTGGCAGAGGAAAGGGAAAGTTCCATCGATTTTTTTTTTCATTATTATTACTATTATCACTATTGATAATCATATGTTATTAACTATTCCGTTTTCAACCTCATGGTGAAAAGTAAATAAAGATAACAAAATAAGAATAAGTATTGATGATAATGATACGAATAAATAATAAACACCAGAATAAATGTCAGAATATATATGACTTCGAATTGCATAGGTGTCTAAATGTCTGAAAAACAAGATAATATCAACAAATATATAAAAAATTCTAGAGGGTATATGAATACCAAAATCACTGTTAACACATTAAAAAAATAATAACTAAGATTATTGATATCCATTAACAGTAAATATATTTCAGGAACTAAACAAAATTAAACCAGAAAACTGTAAATGGCAAATTAAGACACGAGCAAGACTTTACTAGCTTTAAAATGCCTCGCGCAGCAATATAACTCAGGATAACAACAATACCTTATTAATTAACTCTCCCTCCCTCTCTGTCTCTCTCTCTCTCCAGCACCACCTGTTGGGCGGACAGCTGGCCCAGATGTGCCAAATGGATGATGTCGTCCAGGAGGAAAATGAAAATAGGAAACTTAACAACCTGATTATACTCTACGTTGTTCTAACAATCGTCACAATGGTGGTGATTAAGAAGCTCTCGCAGGGAGGTCTTGTCAACCACATCCTGTCAGGTAAGGCTTTTAGCGTTTCGTTAAGGAACCGGAATGATATCGGTTATTTAACTGTTAGAGGAAGAGTCAGTTATTTAACGGCTGGAGAAGGTGTCGGTTGTTTAGTTGTTAGAGAAGGCGTCGGTTATTTAGACGTTAGAAGTGTTCGTTATTTAACCGTTAGAAAAGACTGGAGAAGGCCTTGGTTATGTAAGTGTTAGAGAAGGCATCATTTACTGAACTGTTAGAGAAGGCATCACTTATTTACCCGTTAGAGAAGGCGTTGGCTATTTAACTATTAGTCATGTTAGAGAAGATGTCGGTTATTTAGCTGTTGGAGAAGGCGTCATTTATTGAACTGTTAGAGAAGGCATCAGTTATTTAACTATTAGAGAAGGCATTAGTTTGGTTATTTAACTGTTAGAGAAAGCGTCAATTATTCAACTGTTAGAGAAGGCATTTATTGAACTGTTCGAGAAGGTATCAGTTATTCAACTGTTCGAGAAGGTAACAGTTATTCAATTTGTAGGTATTTGTAGTTTTTCAATTTCAAGGTATCAGTTATTCAATTTGTAGGTATTTGTAGTTATTCAATTTCAAGGTATCAGTTATTCAATTTGTAGGTATTTGTAGTTATTCAATTTCAAGGTATCAGTTATTCAATTTGTAGGTATTTGTAGTTATTCAATTTCAAGGTATCAGTTATTCAATTTGCATCGGCTATTTAAGTGTTAGAGAAAGCATCGGTTATTCAACTGATAGAGCAGGCGTCGGCTATTTAGTGCTGGCATTTTGTTTATAAATTGTTTAGTGCATTGTTTTTTTAAACACTATTTTAAGGGCGTTTATTGTACGGTTTGAGGAACCCAAGAGTTTCGTTATATAAAACTTATGCAGTTACAGTATATCAGGATGTATGTGTGAATATATATAGATATCAGTGTACGTCTTTATGTTTATACGATCGATGTTGCTGTGTTTGAGTCAGTTTAAGGTTAATGCATTTATTAATAGGTATACAGGGGTGAATATGCAAATGAATGATGATGCAAATATCCATATTGTATCGACAGCATTGTTGTTTACATACATGAATATAAACGAAGTGCAAAAAAAAAATCAGCACTATTCGGTTACAGCTGAAATCCTGATTTAGCAAGACTGTTGATGAAAATCCAAGGTTAAATTCCGCGTAGGAGGTATTTTGTGCACTCCCCCCCCCCCCCCCCCGGCCCCCGGCGATGCAGGTGAGGGTCGTAAAAATCGCGTCCGTTGCTTTACTCTGTTATTGCGTTTGTGTTTTGCTGTGGTTCTTGATGGCGGGGTTTTGTTGTTATTATTATTATTGTTATTATTATTGTTATTATTATTATTATTATTATTATCATTATCATTATTATTATTATTATTATCATTATTGTTATTATTATTATTATTATTATTATTATTATTATCATCATTATTGTTATCATTATTATTGTCATTATTATTATTATTGTTGTTATTATCATTATTATTATTATTATCATTACTATTATTACTAATTTTGTTATCATTATTATTATCATTATTATTATTATTATCATTATTATTATCATTACTGTTATTGATGTTGTCCAATTTACTATCATTATTGATATTGTTACTACTATTATTATTTTTTGTTGTTGTTATTATTATTGTTATCATCATTATCATCATCATAATCATTATTATTGTCACTATTATTATCATTACATTGATATTATAATTGTTATTATTGTTATTTATTTTATTATTATTATTATTATTATTACTATTATTATTATTATTATGATTATTATTATCATTAATATTATTGTTGTTATTATTATTATTATTATTGTTATTATTATTATTATTATTGTTATTATCATTATTATTATTGTTGTTGTTGTTATTGCAGTATTACAGTTGTTATCATTATAATTATTATCATTCTTATCATTATAATTATTGTGATGATGATATTGATAACAACAATGTTCACAATAGTAAAAGAGAAAATTAGTCAGAAATAGCAACAACAGAACTAATAATGATGTAAAAAAATAACAAAAAGCAAAAACAATCCGAACAACAACAGTACTGTAACCCAAACATAAACATCAGAACAAATACAATCAGTAAAGATAAACAACACACAAATAAACATCAGAACAAATACAAACAGTAAAGACAAACAACACACAAATAAACATACGAACAACAGCAGAATAAATGCCAACAGTAGAGATTAACAGTACACCAACAGTCAAACTAGAACAAACAAACAACAAAGACAAATAAGAAACAGGCAAATGACAGAGACAAACAAGGAGCAGACAAACAACAGAACAAATACAAACAAAGAGCAACCAACAAACATACAAACGACAGAACAGGACCAATCAGCAAACAAACATAAAAAAAAACAAATACAAACACCTGAACCAAACAAACAACAAATAAAAGAACAAATACAAACAACAAACAAAGAAAAGAACACATACAAACCCCTGAACTAAACAACAAAAAACAAAAGAACAAATACAAACACCTGTAACAAACAACAAACAAACAAACACAACAAATACACAAACCAAGAGAGTGAGGGCGATTTCAAGGAGTTGTACTTGCGCCGTAATGAGAGGAAAGTTTACCACAAATGACTAAAATGCCTCCTTGTTTGGAAGGCGAAGGGGGAAGAGGAGGAGGTGGAGTGGAGGAGGAGATAAAGGAGGGAAGAAGGGAGGGAGAGGAGGAGGAGGAGAGAGGAAGTGGAAAAGGAGGGAAGGAGGGAGGGAGAAGAGGAGGAGGAGGGAAGGAGAGGAGGAGGAGGAAAAGGAAGAGGTGGAGAGAGGAGGTAGAAAAGGAGGGAAGGAGGAGGTGCAGAAGAGGAGGAGATAAAGGAGGGAAGGAGGGAGGGAGAGGAGGAGGAGAAGGAGGGAAGGAGAAAAAGGAAAATGAGGATGAGGAAGTGAGAAGGAGGAGGAGGAAGAAGAGGTGAATAGAAGAGGGAGAGTAGGAGGAAAAGGAGGGAAGGAGGAAGGGAGAGGAGGAGGAGAAGAGGGAGGGAAGAAGAGGAGGAGGAGGAGAGGGAGGGAAGAAGAGGAGGAGGAGGAGAATGAGGAAGGGGATAAAGGAAAATGAAGATGAGGAAGTGAGGAGGAGGAGGAAGAGGTGGGTGGAAAAGGAAGAGTAGGAGGAAAAGGAGGGAAGGAGGGGGGGAAATATGGGAGGAAGGGAGGGAGGGAAGGAGAGGAGGAGGAAAAAGAGGAAGGGAGAAAGGGGGAAGGAGGAGGAGGAGGAGGATGAAGGGGGAGGAAGAGGAAGAAGAAGAAAGGAGGAGGATGAAAAGAAGGTGGAGGAGGGTGAGGAAGAGGAGGAAGATAGGAGAGGGGAGGAAAAGGAGGAGGAGGAGGCGATTAAGCGGGGAAGAAGAGGAAAAGAAGGGACAAAGGCAGAAGAGGGGGAGCAAGAGGAGGTAGAAAAAGGTAGATGGAAGAGAAGAGAAGAGGAGGAAGGTGGAGGAGGAGGAAAACGGAGGTGGAAACGGCAAGAGGAAGGAGAGAAGGAAAATCGAAGACAAGAACAAGGACAAGAAGGAAGTGGGAAGAAAAGGAGCAGGAGGAGATAGAGGGACGGGAGGGGAAGAAGGAAGAGGAAGAGGAAGAGGAAGAGGAAGCCAAAGAGGGTCGAGGAGGATAAACAGGAAGAGGAAG